CTTGTTTCTGTCTTCTGCTGTACTTTTCACCTGCATCCATGTTAGTCCATACTGTTTCAGCTCCTCTTCACACGATCTCCTCCATGTCATTCTTGGACGTCCCACTCGCCGCTTCCCTTTCGGGTTCCACTCGAGTGTTGGCCTGACGCGCGATGTCACCCAACGGCCTCCTCAGTGAGTGTCCAATCCATCTCCACTTTTTCCTGCATATTTGTTGAGCGATTGGTTCTTGTTTTGTTTGTTCCCATAGTTTCTTGTTGGTCATTCTTTCTGGCCATCTGATCTTCAGTATAGAGCGAAGACAGCTGTTGATAAAGGTCTGCAACAGGCTGTTGGAAATATTCTTGGTGACCCGCCAAGTTTCTGATCCGTATAGAAGAACTGACTTGACGTTTGTATTGAAAATCCGAATCATTTTGTTGTTGATGCAGGCTGAGTGACGAAGATTTCCAGATTGGTTTCAGGTTGATGAATGTGTTTCTCGCCTTCCCGATTCTCGATTTGACATCCTCGTCCGTTCCTCCTGTAGTTGAGACAATGCTCCCCAGATAAGTGAAAGAAGTAACCTCTTTCAAATCCCTCCCGTTGATGGTGATTGGCACTGGATGTTGCTGCTGTTGTTGGTTGGTTATTTTCATAACCTCCGTCTTGTCTATGTTCACCTGCAGTCCTGTCTTTGCTGCTTCTTCGACCAGTTTGTCGGTTTTTGCTTGTAAGTCTTCGATTTTGTGTGACATCAAACATAAATCATCCACGCGCGAAATCCAGGTCTTCTAGGTTCTTCACGTCGGTCACAGGATATCCCTGTCTTCTCGTTTCCCACTGTCTGACGACGCATAATCCAGTCCACCACAATTAGGAATATCATTGGTGATAATAAGCACCCTTGTCTGACTCCTGTGTTTACTCCAAATGCTTCGCTGAGTTTTCCGTTGTGGATCACTTGACATGTGCCGTTGTCGTACAGCTGTTGAATAAGGTTGATGAATATTTGGGGTACGCTGTAGTACTCGAGTAGTTTCCAAATTACTTCGCGGTCAACGCTGTCGAAGGCCTTCTCGAAGTCTATAAAGTTGAGGTAGAGATTTGATTGCCATTCCATGCTTTGTTCGATGATAATGCGTAGAGTTGCAATTTGGTCAGAACATGATTTACCTTTCCTGAATCCAGCTTGTTCTGGTCGGAGTTCTGTATCCAGTGCGTCCTTTATTCTCTCCAGGATGATGCGACTCAGGATTTTACTTGGCGTCGACAGGAGCATGATTCCTCGCCAGTTCTTGCAGAGTCCTAGGTCGCCCTTCTTTGGTAGTTTCACGAGGTAGCCTTTCCTCCAGTCAGTAGGCACCTTTCCCTCCTTCCAGACCTTTTGCAATAATGGAGTCAGCATATCTGCTGTCGTTTCTGGGTCCGCTTTCAGTGCTTCGGGGGGTATTCCATCTGGTCCAGCTGCTTTTCCAGCTTTCAGAAGCTTGATTGCATTCAAGACTTCAGTTTTCGTTGGAGGATTGGTGTCAACTTGCAGTTGTGTACGTGCTGTTGTTGGTATTACTGGACGGGTTGTAGGTGGTGGTCGGTTCAAGAGTCCTTTGAAGTGGTCCGCCCATTGTTTAATCTGTCTTTCTTCTTTGGTAATTGGTTTCCCTTGGCTGTCTTTTATAGGTTTCACTTGTGTTGATCTCTTCCCGGATAGAGACTTGGTTATCTGATATAGTGTCCTCAGGTCCCTTTTGCCTGCTGCCTTCTCAGCTTCAGTAGCCAGGTTGTCGTAGAATTGTCTTTTGTCCTTCCTGGCACTCTTCTTCACTTCTTTGTCCAGTGCTGTGTAAGTTGAGTTCAGCGTCTCTTTCTCTTGTCCATCTTTGCATTGAATCATTTTTTCTTTCACCTTTCTCCTCTCCTCTATTAGTTTCCAAGTGTCTGTTGAGAGCCATTGCTTGTCTTGTTTCTTCTTTCTTCCTAAAACCGTTGAACACGTTTCGTTGAAAATTACCTTCAGAGAGTTCCAATGGTCTTCCACGGATGATTCCTCAGTGGTGCCACGTAGTGTTTCCTGCTTTGCTCTGACAGTTGCAGTGAAAGTGTCCTTTGTGGTTGTGTCTTTCAGTTTTTGTGTGTTGAACTTGCATTGTGGCCTGTCCCCAGGTATCCTCGAGGCTTTCGGCTTCACCTTGAAAGTCCCTTGTACTAGATAGTGGTCTGAACCCACATCTGCTCCTCTCCTCGATCTTGTGTCCAGTAGGCTCCGTCTCCACTTCCTTGAGATTGAAATGAAGTCTATCTGGTTTGTGGTGTGTCCATCTGGTGAAATCCATGTTGCCTTGTGTATATCCCTGTGTTTGAACACACTGCCACCAATCACCATATCATTGAAGGCGCAGAAGTCTGAGAAGAGTTCACCATTTTCGTTCATTTCACCGAGGGCCTCACGACCCATGGTGAGTTCTCTTCCTGTATTGTCTCCTCCCAGTTTCGCATTCATGTCGCCCATCAGGATTTTGATATCGCTCTTTGGGACGTTGTCCATTACTGTTTGTAGTTGACTGTAGAAATCCTCCTTCTTCTCATGTTCTGAGGTGTTTGTAGGCGCGTAGCACTGAATGATTGTAACCTTCTTTCCTTTTGAGTTGAACCTGGCTGTCATTATCCTGGAGGAGATTGGTTCCCACTGCATGAGAGCTTTAGCCGCCGCTGGTGACATCATGATGGCTACTCCCTCGGTGTGCTCGTGATTGTCCTCTGGGTGACCGGAGTAGATTATTGTCTCTCCAGTTGATAGTTGGCTCCTTCCACATCCGTTCTATCTGCTCTCGCAGATTCCCAACACTTCTATTTTATATCTCCTCATTTCTGCGGCTACCTGAGCAGCCTTCCCAGCTTCGTACATTGTACGAACATTCCACGTCCCCATCCTTATTTTCGCTTTCATCGAAAGAAGGCACATCGGCTGACTGGCTTCCCGAAGGCTTTCACCAGCCCGCGTCATTTCACTTCCCCGATTCCAGCGAAAAATAAGGTCACTATTTGTAATTTTAGAATTTTGAATATATTTGTGCGTTGAAGTTTTAGTATCAATTTGGTTAAGTTTTGGGGGTGGAGTTGCTAGCACCACGCCCCAACCCTCCCTCTTTATCCGGCCTTGGGACCGGCTAGAATACTAGTGACCTAGTAATCTAGGCGAGGTTTTCGGGTAGCTTATTTACGTATAATAGGAATAGCAGGGTGCGTAGTACAGTTTCTTGAGGTACTTCACTCAGTACTGCTTTCCACTGTGACAGTACACCATTAACCCTTGCCTTTTATCTTCTCTCCGTTAGCTAGTGCTTAAACCAGATGTTCTCGTTCGCTGTTTCACTTCTGTGAGGAACACCTTCACCACGTCAAGACAGTGATCACGACTTAACTTGTGGAGAGGCTGTGAACGTGTGTGGCTACATGAGAACCTTTCGAGGTGGGAACTGAAGTCTACTCACCCTCGGCCATGCTAGGTCATTCATGAGGGCAAAGATAGACTTAATCTCTCTCCAGTGTATTTATATAACTAACCAAATATCCTATCTAGTATCACCAGACTTCATTCAAAAATATTTTCTAATGAATATATTATTTTCAAGAGTTGGTTTGTAAGGATTAGATTTGTTTTTACGAGTTTGACCACGGATTGATATCAGTTAGAGAATCATTAAAAGCCAGCATGAAGTACTGGGCAGCTGTTTCGTCCTAGTTTGGGAACCATCGGCAGTACGCACCCACCCCACAGGGGGTTCGAGCCCAAGACCTTTCGGTTACAAGGCAAGCTAGCTTGTAGACCTTCGCCCCTGTAAAATGTAAGATGCTGCTACAGGACTGGACTACGCCAACTCCTAGCTTAGTGATAGGGAGTGAAGTGATAGAACATGTTGACCACTTCACCTATTTGGGAAGTTGTATCAGCACCAACGGATTGATTGGTGACGAAATCTCAGCACGGATCCAAAAAGCTCGGACTGCTTTTGCTAACTTACACCATCTCTGGCGTAGGCGTGACATCCGGCTATCAGCCAAGGGACGTGTGTACTGCTCAGCAGTTCGCTCCGTCCTTCTCTATGGCTCTGGAACATGGCCAATACGAGTTGAAGACATGAAAAGGTTGACTGTTTTTGATCATAGATGTTTACGATCTCTTTCTCACGTTAGGTGGTATAATAAGGTAAGTAATGTTGACGTTAGGCGTAGATTATTGGGCAAGGAGGGAAAATCAATCGACGAGGCTATAAAGTCACATATATTGAAATGGCTAGGTCACGTGTTGCGCATGCCTAACCATCGCCTCCCCCGACGGGCATTACTAGCTGATATAGGTGCAGGTTGGAAAAGAGTAAGTGGTGGCCAAACAAAAACATGGCATCAATCTATGAACTGAGTCAGGTAGGGAGGGAGATGCAGACTTCCTGACTGGTTGGGGCCCTCGGGACTCTAAGAATCAATGGCTGGAGACAATAGGTGACATGGCTCAAAATCGTTGTCAATGGCTTACGCAGATGTATTCAGTCTCTGTAATCTTTCATATTCCTTTCTACCATTACTCATTCTGTTTCACTCTTATACTTGTCAAAACTCTATTGATTCTCTTCACTCATTTTCTTGTCTACCTTTGTGTGCTCTTTGGAACGTGGCAATTCGAACTACTGCACTTCGGTTCCAAGTTCTATGTTGAACCCAGACAGAGAGACAGCTTGTAGACCATTCAGCCACTGGGACCCGACCCAATTCAATGGTCAACCCATGAACTCTAACTTCCCAAACTAGGACGAAGGAAACAGCTGTCCAGTGCTCTGGTGCTGGTTTTCAATGGTTCTCTAACTGATATCAATCCGTGGTCAAACTATTATTATCTACCTAGTTTTACTGGCTTACTCTTAAGATCGTCCTAAGGTCATTATTGACGGGTGTCTAACAAGTTTAACTTCGTTCCAATTGCATCACACTAAATTATTATTTTCTTTTTCCTACTTTAAAAATAGCAAAAAGATGGCAGTTTCGCTGGAGATATTTGGGGTGAAATAGATACTCGTTTTGCATTCTGTGCTGTCGCCATATTACACATACTTGGTATGCTATCAAATGATGTTATTGATATTGAAGCCTGTGCTACATACCTTGAACAATGTCAAAATTTAGACGGTTGTTTTGGTACTCAACCTGGAAGTGAATCACACGCTGGTCAAGCATATTGTGTTGTCGGTGCTTTAGCTATCCTACGTCGGCTGCGTCGACTGAATATAGATCGTGCTGCTTGGTGGTTAGCTGAACGTCAACTTCCTAGTGGAGGTTTGAATGGTAGACCTGAAAAGCAGCCTGATGTTTGTTATTCATGGTAAGTTCAGATTTTATTTTTTATTTTGCAAGTGTTGACTAGCAGGTCTGTCTGTCTGTCTGTTTTCAACGTAGAACTTTGCACCGATGTGCGGCAGTTCAAGTCGCCACACTCCACGCCATGTAGCACACAAAGCAACAGAAGAAAGTAAAAAGAAACGCAAAACAGAGACAGTAGACAGGAATATGAGACAAAAGGAATAGTAATAACGGAGAACAATATAGTTTCACTGGAAATTATAAGTCACAAGGAGTGGATACATCTGCACTAGCCATTGAGAACGATTTTGAGCCATATCACCGATTGTCTCCAGCCTTCATTGGTTTTTACTGTCCTGAGGACTCCAACCAAGAAGCCAGTCTACACCTTCCTAAGTGGCTTAGACTAACTATTGTAGATTTCATTGACTGGTCCCATGTTTTGGTTTGACCGCCGCTATCTCTTTTCCAGCCTGACTCTGTATCAGCTGACATTGCCCGTCGAGGAAGGCGATGACTAGGCATGTGCAACACATATCCTAACCATCTCAGTCGATGCAATTTCACAGCCTCGTCAATTGATTTCCCCTCTACACTTATATATATATATGTTTATATACATAGAATATTCTAGAATAGTAGTCAATAACAATATTAGTGTTTTTCAAATAATATTAATGAAATCATCATCAGCTGACATTGGTTAGAGGACCATTGGAAAACCTGGGAGTACTGGCAGGGTGCAGCAGGTTGAGTGTGAGGACAAATACTCGCCGAAGACATTGGCTAGCGGTCGCGCTATGTCGTGAATTGGCAGAAGTTAGAATTCGTGGGCCATTGGATTGGGTGCCAGTAGTCCAATAGTCTACGAGTTCGCTTTGTAACCAGAAGGTCCTGGGTTCGAGTCCCGGTGGTTGGTGCGTACCGATGAAGAGTCCCAAACTAGTGAGACGAAACGGCTGTGCAGTACTCCCTGACTGGTTTTCCAATGGTCCTCTAACCAATGTCAGTTCATGATGAAAATCCTGTAACCAATCAATCAAATCCCTACAAACCAACGATTGAAATTACAGTTCATTAGAGATGCTTAAATAATAATAATAAAAATATGGTATCAAATAGAATATCAAATAAAATTAAGGAAATTTGTACAAAAAGTTGAGCATCATTCGAGCCTAGATGGCCAAGGTAAGGACAGTGTCTGAACTGGCCTCTTTTGGATACATAAATTAGGCTTCTTAATGTGGATCTCAACGGCCTCAGCAATATTTAGTAGTCCAACTCTTAAGGCGAAGTTAAGATTAATTAGTTGGTATGCGGTAAATGACTTTGAAAGCCACCTCATTGACATCAATCTTGTGTTCTGTCTGTATCCACAAGATGAGATAGAATAACGCTACGAATAGATTTTGTTTGTCCTTTTACTTAACTATTATGCAGGATGATGTTCGGAAATCCGACGAGAAACATGCCTAATTGTACGGCCTATGCAACTAACTGGCTCCACAGGAGCACTAATATTGTAATTGACTACTATTCTAGAATATTCTATGTACATAAACATATACGTATAGGAAATTATCGAAAAGGATGTTCTTCTTTGCTCAATTATGTTGAGATATATATCAAAGAAACTATTTTTTCACTTTTAAAAATAAATGTTTTACAATCTTATTTTTTCTCTCTCTCTCCCTCTTAACTCTTTTATAGGTGGGCTGTAGCCACACTAACCATTCTTGGCCGGCTCACGTGGATTAAACACGATGATTTGACTCGATTTATTTTAGCTTCACAAGATATTCAATCTGGTGGGATAGCTGATCGACCAGGGAATATGCCTGACCCATTTCATACGCTATTCGGTCTAGCTGGCCTCTCTCTGCTGGCTCGTGTAGATGCAAACGCTATCGCTCTCCGCCTACAGAATCATCATCATCATGCCTCATCGCAAAATGGTGGACCGAATCATGATAATAATGGCGGTGAAATTGACGAAGAACGCGAAGAAGAAGAAGATCCAGCTATCATTGCCCTGAAAGTTGCTTATAATAAACTGAAACCTATTCATCCGGTGTTATGTATGCCACAATATGTGATTGATCGATTGAAATTAAAATTTCAATTACTTTGAAGGTTTAATTAATTCAATGTGTACAAGTTTTAAGTAGCAATTGAACACATTGAATAGTACTTTAAGCTATCATTACTATTATAATATATTTGTAAATAATTTTAAAAGAAATAGTAATAATAATAAGAATCGTAATATTATTTTCATTTTGGATAATTGAATTGTACAGACGACTATATGCCATCATCATCATTATCATTGATTGTTTCGCTGACTGATAGAATGTCTTCTTGGAAGTATCTTTCTGTGTGGAACACATTCCTAGAATAATTAATTAACTAACTAACTAACTTCACTGTGACCTGGTCGAAATAAATTTAATATTCTACCTCTTCGAAGCATATTATTTTTTTTCCTGTCGTTTGTACGCATTCTTGGTTATTTTGTTATGTAATTGATATTATTATTATTTTCATTAAACAATTTGTGACGAATGATAATAATAATTATTTTGCTTATCGACTTTTGATTCTGAACAATAATAATAATAATTTGCTTTATTCCAAAACAGTACTTGTGATACAGAATGGAATTCTCAGCATTTTTTTTACTACAGTATTGCATCCAGTTAGTACATTATTGATAAATAGAATTCTACATAGATTAAGGGTAGTGTCAGTTCATTATGACAACAACACATTGGCATGTCGGTAGCAAAGCCAAAGTTGAACAGTGTTTGAGGGTGTTTGAAAAGTGGGAGCTGTCTTATTAACAGGCATAAGCGAGAGAAAGAGACAAAGCAGCACATAACGGAAAGAAAAGAGAGAGAGAAAAGGAAAAGAAAGAAAGAAAATGTTGTACCTATTGATGATATGAGTTGGAAAGACGAGATCCAGTTGTTCTACTGACTATTTAATAAGTTATAGGTGTCACGCCTAATGCTTTCTTCATCACACAGAACACGAGCTAAGTAGGGTATGGCTGAGTTTTTGTACTTGCTGGTGCGAGCATATAGTTTTCTATATAGGCTTCTGGTTTTACCTGATGAGATGCAAGGGGAGAGTTGTGAGTGAGGAGGGTGGTGTGAGTTAGATAGAATGAACTTGGCCAATTTTTCACATGAGTCCAAGTGCCTGCCTGTCAACCAGAATATTAACAAGCTGGTTAAGTGGTACGTTGCTTACCCTGCTGACAACCTTTAACATCCTGCGTAATATGTTATAGTCTTTCTTCAGTAGCCCTGGAAAAACTAAGGGGGAACAATAGAGAATAATAGGCAGAATGCGAGAGTTAACGAATCGTAAGAGTAAGGGTTGGGTTATTCCAGAATGTCTTAACTTCTTGATGTAGAAGGTAAGACAGAATATTTTCTTAGAAATCATCAAGATATGAGACGACCAGGAAAGATCACCAGATAGAATGACGCCTAGGTATTTAATTTCCGACTTGGTTTCTATTTCAGTGCCATCTATGTTGCACACCTCGTGAGTGCTAACCAGTTTGTTTAGGTCAGATTTATGCCTAAAGGTGAAATTGACTGTTTGACATTTAGAGGGATTTAAGGTTAGACCGTTTTCCTTGGACCACTGGCTGATTTCTGATAAAAAGCCATTTAGTTTTGAGCAGTCACTTTGACATTTGATAGGCAAAGATACAGTCAGATCGTCAGCATATTTGACAAAATTAATGTCATTTGAAAATGGTAAGTCATGTAGAAAGAAAGAAAGAAAAGAGAATAAATGTTTTGCAAAGTTATTTGTTTTTTGAAGAGTTGATTTGTAAAGGATTAGGTTTATTTTTAACCAAGTTTGACCACGGATTGATATCTCAGTTAGAAAGAACCAGTGAAAAATAAGCACCCGGAGTACTGGACAGCTAGCTAGCTGTTTCCTCCTTCCTTGTTTGGAAATCTAACTGAGATATCAATCCGTGGTCAAACTCAAGAAAAAAAAATCTAATCCTTACAAATCAACCCTTGAAAATTAATTTGATGCTTCCTAGTGACTTGCTACAGGACTGAGTTTCCTGGAGTTCTAGTGAGAAGTCGTGACCAGTGAGGTCCATCCAGTTGGGAGTGAGGATAGATTTCCCACCGATGACATTGGTTGGTGCCAGTCGAGCTAAATGCATCACGAATTGGTAGAAGTTAGAAATCATGGGCTCTGGCCATTGAATCAGTTCGGGTCCCAGTGGCTGAATGGTTTACAAGTTAGCTTGCCTTGTAAACGGAAGGTCCTGGGTTTGAACTCCCTGTGAAGTGGGTGCGTACTGCCGATGATTCCCAAACTAGGACGGAGGAAACAGCTGTCCAGTACTCCCTGTGGCTGGTTTTCAATGGTTCTCTCTAACTAAGATATCAATCCGTGGTCAAACTCGTCGTTAAAACGAATTTATTTGTGATATTTCAAATATTATCCAAAGGTATAGGGGTTCAGTAGAACATATCTATTTCACCAAATCAATTTTGGACTCAAATAGAGACCACGTAGCGATAGGCAGCTATCATTGGTGAGGGTTAGTGACAAGACTGTTGCTCCTCTTTTGAACACATGAGTGTTGACTACGATCACGCCCTGGTTCGTACTCGTTTATGCTTACGATTGGACAATGGACATAAAAGAAACTGTTAGCAACGAAGTAGTTACGCGCTGCACTCCCCACCAACTTGATCAGTAGACTGAGTCCCTGTTTAAAGCAGAAATAGCGAAACGCGTATATGAGGTCGACAACAAAACTCAGCCTGAGGAAGCGTGGCACAATATACAGCTAGCTAGCTGTAGACACAGCTGTAAAGACTGTTGTAATAACGTAAAACCAAAAGTTAGTGAATTTCTACTACCTCCTTCGAACTGATTGACGCAAGAAGAGAGATTCTAGCAACCTCCGAATATAATGAGCAGCTTCCACTGCTCAAACGAAAACTAACAAGAAGTTTTCACAACGACCCTGAA